AAAAAGGACAAAGGAAAATTGAATGTAGAAACAATAAGCTGTCCTAGAAGTAATGTGCATGTACCAAATGCATGGCTTCTATAAAAATCTGTGCATTTCGTAGAGATAGGTCAGAAGTTTGGCTCTTCTTAATACTTCTAGCAATCAAGAATCACAGGGTAATTCAATCTTACATGATTCAATATCCTTAAGATAAAAACAAAAAGGTATTAGAGTACTATTTCTCTCTTTATCTCTTTCATAAAGGAGATACAATATAATGTAACAATGTCCTTAACAACATCCTTGCAGTTGATTTGTCAGAGAGCTTTGCAAGAGAATTCCTCATAACAACTCTCACAAGTAAATTGACAGGGCCAAAAATCAAATAAAACTAAAGATGGAAAGGAAGAAAGGAGAGTACCAGTTCAGGTACACAGCTCAGTGCAAGTCTAAATTCACCAGAAACAGATTTTATTTTATCTAAATTAACCTTAAAGATAGAAGTTTCAGGCATCACTTGCCTTTTAAGTCATAAATAATATTTGATACCTATGTCTATTTTTTCCTGAGGGATATGTCTGCAGTTTTAAAACATTCTCAGAGGGGAGCATAAATTTTAAAAGGTTAAGAACCACTGACCATCTGAGCTCAATCCCCAGTTCCGAAAAAAAAAAAAAAAAACACTGACCTACTATCCAGACTGTATGCATGTGTCCTCTGGGCCATCCTCCAAAAACAAGTTTCTCTTCTGAGGCTGGGAAATGTTGACAAGCACCTGAAGTTTTGTTTTGTTTTGTTTCTCTTCATATAATAATGGAACTTTTCTCAAGCTTGTTGTCAACATATATACGACCTTTAATACAGGAATACCCATAGGCGTATGGAGTACATAACAATATACTCTACATAGCTATCAGGCATGAACAAAACTGCCACAAAGAAGCAGTAATATTGCTTCTGGATAGTATTTTAAAAATTATAGATCAACATAAAACCAAATATTTTCCTAGCTAAACATTTTTAAATTTTAAAACCTTTCTGTATCAATTGACAAAGTCTGGACTTTTTAAACCTTTTTTTGTTTTAACATTATGCAACTAAAGCCTCATTGCCATAGCCATAGACACACATACAGTCTACTACCCAACTATACTAACATGGTTAAGATGTACCAACTTTCCAAGAGTTTCGAGTGAAGAAGCTGGCCTACGAACTATGGAAATAGACTCTTTATGCTCTCATCTATCTAAAGTCACAGTCATCTAGGATTTAGTCTACAGCATAATAAATTCAGAGCTATGTAGCTGTCCAAGAATCCTCTGTTCAAAAGCCACAAAGAACTACCAATTCTAACCCAGCTCATCAAGAAGCTAAAGTACAAATCAGAACAGCAGTGTATTACTCAGTTTTACACATAAGAAAATTTACGTTTGATGCCAGGATATTGCTTTCTCAATGTCTCAATATATAAATAGAACCCTAAATTCCCAAATAGAAGTTCACCAAAAGCACGACCAAACAAAGTTTGGGAATACCTAATGAATTATCTCCACCCAAGATACGGCTAAGGGACCAAAGTTGTGGTTCTCACAAGTAGTTTCTCTCCAAACACACAGAATTCTTGGTTACTGAGCCTTTTTCCTCCACAATGTTCTCTCCAGTAAGTATTCCTCTAGGCAGGGTATAATACTACTGATGAGAGTAAACCTTACATGCATTATTATCCCTAAGTTTTAGTTTTTTTTAATCTTTTATTTATGTATTTGGTACAAGATCTCGCTACACAGCTTGGACTTAGTGATCCTCCTGTCTCAGCCTCCCAGCTCTAGGATTACAGGTGTGTGCTACCACACCCAGTTCTGGGGCTGGATGGGCATTCAATACCAAGGATCTAATCCAGGTCCTTGTGCTTGCCAAGCTGGCACTTAAGACCTCAGAGCTATCTCTCCAGCCCCTATCCCTAAGTTTTAAATAAGAAACTCCCAAATAAAGCTGCCTAAGAAATTTGCCCAAGGTCACAGCTAGCATAAGGCAGAGCAGAGTCTTAAAGTCAAAACCTATGCTTTCAATCTTGCACTAAATGATGTCTTCTTGGTCTTTTGCCCTAGACCTCCTGCCTCCCAGTGTGATTTAAATGCTCCTCTGTTTCCATAATGCCAAAAACACAGCATGTCAATAATTTCAGATAAATGGATTTATGTGCTCTCTTACTAGAATAAAACTTTGGAGGACACAGGTTATCCTTTAGGTATCCTTGTATCCCCAGAGTGCTACCTGCTAGGCAAATATTCAAACTAATTTGTCCGATGGTTTGATACAAAGATCAACCAAGTAAAAGTCTAAAACTAGCCACGTAGTCTTAGCAAGGTCACAACTTGCTAAGTATTATCAGTATCTCATCTTTTTAAAAAATGGTATGAAATAGATATACAAAATGAAATGATATGCCAAGGTCCCTTCTGGAGGTGATAAGCACTGTAACTGTAATTGGGACCTGGTATCTTATGTCTTGTCTTATCATTGTGAATTACTAGGAATAAAATTAAGCACCTTATCTTCTGTATCATTCTAGAGATAGTTTGTATGTGTATACAGGTGTGTGTGCATATATTTGTATATATTTATGCAATTTATAGAGAGAACAGAGAAAGATTCCTCTTTCTGAACAGAGATAACTATCATCTAGACCAAAATCAAACAGTGGCACCCTCCTCTGGTGAATGTTAAAAGAGCTAAGCCTCACAAAAGGGAAGAATTAGAAAAGAAAGTGGGATTTTTTCTGAAGGATATATAAAAGAAAAGTGAGGGCTAAATAGCCACAAGTGTTCATTATCATACTCCTAGCAACAATTAAATACCTTTCTGCAGCACTGTCTTTATTTTGCCCTAAAACAAAGCAAGAATGAATGAACTGGCTACACATGGTGGGTGGTTATAGAGAGAACAATTATTCTATTTTCCACTATGCTATCAATTATTTTGCAGACAACAAGCATTTTAACATAAGGTGCAATGAAAAGCATTTAATATTTGGCTGAAAATGATCATCTTTTAATATTAAAAATTTTGTGAAAAGTTAAGGACATGTAAAATATTTTTATTTTTATCATGCCCTTTTTCTGGATATATTTACTAGATACTACTGTAGATATTTCACTCTGAAACTCATTTGGGCCTCTAACTTTCAAGTTTCAGAAACTTTAACTTAAAATAACATGTTCAAATTACCCAATCACACAAGCATGCCAAAAACATGTCAAGGTATCACACAACAACTACAACTCAAAATTTTACAACTTTAATATTACACCTAATCCTTTAAACGAGCAGTAAAACTGTGCTTTCCTAAAGACAAGAATCAGATTATCATTAGTCAACAATTTTAATATTAAATATATAATAAATATAAGCTTATTAAATGATTTACAAATTGAAGAATCTCAGCTTCATTCTCTCTGAATGTAGGCATATAAAATGAAAATACAAAAATTATAACTCCAGTCCAGAAAGCAAATCACTCATTATACTTAATCTTGTCATTCAGGTACATTTTCGACCAAACAAGCTGTGTCTCTACCCTCAATTGACTTTTACCTTCTCTACTGTCAAAGGGGCAGGACCACACCACACAAAAGGCTAAAACAATATTGAAAATTTCTGAAAGATTATAAAAAGGATATGCAATGTATTAATTATTGAAACTGTGCTAGTAATCGGTTTTGAAACTGTCCCATTGCTATTTGTTTCTCAATAAAATTATTTTTTAAAAATTATAAAAAGGTTAGAGTGGATGCAAAATAGCAAAAATTAATTTCAGTGCTACAAGTAACTTTGCTACTGTTTGTCAGTCTTGGCAAGTTGTTTCTATAAGGTAGACAGCACTACTGTGGAAAGCTTTCCAGATGGCTGGTGGAAAATGAAGATAAGCTAACCAATGGAAAATTTTCTCAATGTTTATCCAAAACTAGAGCCAAAGAACAAGCAAATGCCTGGGAAAGAGAGACATTTCCTACAGCCCACGTACAGACCAGAGGAGAGGTTTAAGGGAGATGGGGGGAAAGTGTGCAGTCTAAAAAGGAAAAGAGGGCATGATGCAAGGTAACTTTGTTACCAAAGTAACTGTCCAAGTGAGAGAAATGGGCTGACTGGTTTGGTACTCTTTGGTAAAGGGCGCTGGGATCACATTTACCACCCACTGCACCTGGGCCCAGACCCAAGTAGATAAGCCAACCCTCGAATGACCTCCAGGGATCCTGCGCCCTAGCTCGCAACAGAAACGTGTGAGGGACATCTAAGCCGGCCTTTAGCCTTGTCTTCTGCTCCCGAACGAACCTAAAGGAATCTAGAAGCAAGGAATATTTGCGTCCCCACGCTGGCCAGGGCGCAGGAGTGAGGTCAGGGCAGCAGCAGTAGTGCAGATGGAGCATCTCTGCAAAGGCCAGGGACGTTCTGAGTCCAGCTGCGATCCAGCTGAAAACCCTCGACCTCGAGGTGCTCCTGTCAGCTGGCCTGCTAACACTCGCAAAGTTGATGGAGTTGGTAAGAAGCACAGCTTCCCCTTGTTCTTCTCCAGAGAAAAGGGGAAACTCACAGCTTCCTTTGCCCTCACTAGGGCTCACGCTATTCTGCAGATTTTTGACTCTTTCCCTAACAGTGTATCAAAGAATATTCTTCCTTCGTTGCAGCTAATTTGGCTGCAAATGCTAGATAGGGCCACTGAGGCCCAGAGCCTAACTACAAATATCATTAGTTCTCTCCGAAAAATGAGCACAGTCTTATGCTGGGTTCAAGCATCGGAAGCTTCATATTTAAACAATTTGCTGAGGTGGACTTTCTGCCGAACTGGACCCTCAGCCCAAAGAGCTCTCCACCTCGAAGTGGTTTAGTAACTTGAGCATAACTTGTCCAGACACCACGCCCCCTCACGTATGTCCTACTCCGCCGCCCACCAAGCCTTTTTACACACACACACACACACACACACACACACACACACACACACACAGGGTAACTCCTACCTCGCCACCGTGCCCATCGAAGATCCCAAAGATGGACGGGTGCGTCTTGTTGGCCAAATCCGTAAGAACTTCGAAGCGGTCCTCCATGTGGTCTCTCCGGCCCTGAATGGAGTACACAGCCACGTTATGACTCTTGAACTCCCAGGTCTTGGAAAACTCGGCCTCCAGCACGTCAAGCCCTCCGAGTCGATCGTTCTGCATGATCTCAGCCACCTTGCCCTTCACCATCTTCACGGCGTCCCGGCTGGACTTGACGATGGTCTTCACTTCGTCCGTGTGGAAGAAGTAACTCCACAGCGCCAAGCTGATGCACAGCAGGAAAAGCGTCTCGGGTCTCAGCAAGAAGTAGCGCATGATGCGACCCAGCAGAGAGAGCAAAGTCATTGTATCCTCTATCATTTATTATCCCTAGAGCCCCCACCACCAGCAGCGAGGAGCGCCCCGAAGGCTCGCCTGGTCGCGAGCACGACGGGGACCGACGGCGGGAGGAGGCGGAGCAGCAGCTGCGGGTGTGCAGCGGCGTGCGGAGCCCGAACCCAGCTGGGCAGAGGGCGCACGGGCGGGCTGCTCCGAGCCGGCACGGCAAGCGCGAGCAGTTGCCTTTTGTCTCCGCGCCTCGTCGGCCTGGAGGCCCGTGCCTGCCGCCCGCGTCGCCTCCCCTCCCTGCGCCTTTGTGATGCCGCAGCGACGGTGGCGGCGGCGGCAGCACGGCGGCGGCAGCGGGTGCCCGCGATGGGCGACAGGAATCAAGTTAAAGTTGCGCGGTGCGGTCCGCCGCGGTGAGCGGGCGTGCTAGGCGCAGGAGCCCGCGCGGCCCCTCGCGGGCTGCCCTCTCGCGGCTCCGGGGAGCGGTTGGCAGGTGAAGAGGCGCAGGACGCCAAAGACCGGCGGGCGAGGGATGCAGGTCCCCTCGGTCGCCGCTGCCGGGGAGCGCGGAGACAGCCGAACACTCCGATTCCTTCACACACCCGGGAGAGCCCAAGAGAATAAAAGTTTTGCGGCAGCTTGGGCAAAGGCGGAGAGACGCAGAGCCCGGCGACGCGGCACGATCGGCACTGAGCCGCAGGCGGCCAGCCGGGCTCAGCCTGCCTCTCCCGACTCCTCGCGGCTCGATTCGGCTCGGCTCCTCCCGGCTCGGCTCGCCAGTTCCCTCCAGACGCCTCAACTCCTCGTCGCCCCGCCCAGCGCGCCCCGCCCTGTCCCGCCCTGTCCCGCCCCGAGAGCCGGGATTCGAGACCCAGAGATGCTCCCACCAAGCTGTCAGAGGCTGAGGAAGCTTGGCGGCAGTTGGTGCTCTCCCTCGCCCTTGGTGGTCCAACGAATCGACAGGGAGGAACACGGTGCCTCTTCGGGCTGACTCTTGCAGATGATCGTTTCTACCTTTTATAAGTATCCCTGAGACGATATGATATTTCCGTACTACAATCAGTGTTGGTCTTTTGGGGGAGCCACTGCTTCTCACAGACAAGCAGAGAGGTGCACCTGAACGCTGCCCCCTCCGGCAGCTGCAGGATAGTACGGTCCTCTCTGCTCGCGTAAGGCAAGCGAGAAGGGACCAACTTCTACCGACTCGCAAAACAAGGAGTGGATCCGGCTCTTGGTAGTACTTTGCCTTCCACAAGGGATACCTGCGGGATCTCCCCGGAGGAGAAGAGTGAGCTGGGGCCCTGGCACACTTCTCCCGCTGAAGAACTGCACGTGAAGAAAATCAGAGCCACATTCAAGTGCACTCTGATGATAACCTCCCAAATGCGTGGAACTGCTGGCCTCTCTGGGAATGGCGTCTTCTTTGGAACGGCGATTCTGCAGCCACCAAGACCTCCCGGGTCGAGCCCTTCCCAGAGAGACCTGGAGATTCCGAGTGGGACCTCGGGCGCTCCTAACCCTGCCGCGGGGCGAAGGCTCTGACTTCAGGTTGAAGCAAAAGTAACGGCCTCCTGCCTTCTCGGTCATGGTGAAAGATGAAGTAGGGGTGGGGGTCCGGATAAGCAGAGGAGACCCGCCGCAGAGGAGGCTCGGGCCCCCAGAAACCATCAAATGCAGGCGGACGTCGGGCGGTAGGCTTTGAAGATGGAAATCAGGGGGGGGGGGGGGGGATGTACTAGTCAGTTTAGAATACGGAAATAAGCCAGAGAACTTAAAGGGAAAATATTCCCTTCCCCTACCCCTGTCCAGGAATTAGAGTGCTGATCTAGTTCTTCCAGTCCACTGGGCTGGAGAGTAGAGGCTGCTTGATGTCAGCCACGCCAGTGTCTGTCCCCTTAAACTCTTCTGCTTTGGTGGGATCCCGTTTTCTTTTTAAAGAATTAAAAAAAAAAATAAACCCACTGGGAGGAAATACAACGCAATGTTCACAGCAGTTAACTACAGTATGTGTGTTATGTGTATGTTGACTTTCACTTTTTGGCTTTCAATTTTTGCTGTAGATATCTTTTTTTATGTTTGACAAAATTTCTACAGAAATGCATGGTTTTCCATCATTACCAGAAAAAATTTAAGTGTTTAAAATGCATATACAATATGATCCCAATAACATAAACATGTATGGAAAGATGGGAAGGAAATTGTTAACAGTATATTATTTTTGAAAACTAAGATGTGCTATGCTATTCTGCTTTACATTTCTCATTATTTTCTACCTGGTAGAGAAAATAAAATACAGTAAGATAAATCATTTTGTTAAAGGGCCAACAGGTACCAAAATCAAACAATGATTTTGAAAGCTCTTAGGGACTATAAAGAATGCATCACCGTCCAGATAGCTCAGCGGATTAAAGCAACTGCAAGCAGGCACAGGGGCCATGGGTTTAAACCCAGGGCCAGCCTTGCCAGCCCTGCCCCCAGGCACGCTGAGACAGCGATTGAGACTGGACTTGGTGGTGTACATTACATCTGTAATCTCAGCTCTTGGGAGGCTGCAAAGAGGCAGATCACTATGAGTCCGAGCTAGTAGTGAGACCCTGAACAAACTGTAGACCATTCCCTAAAATACAAAAAAAAAAAAAAAACAAAGTTATGTTGGCAGTATTTCTTACTGTAAAGTACCAAATCATTTTTGAGTATTAGTCTTTCTGTATATAAATCTATTTCTCCATGACAGAAGTAACTTGTAGACAAGCTGCTAAAGATTTCAGAACTACAAGTCAAGAAAGCCCTAGAATGGCAATAAAATTCCCAGCCCAGTCAGCCTGGTCACAGTGCTGCTGCTGGGGTTCCTGCAGAGCACACACCCATGAGGTACCTGACTTCTTTCCCTCACTACTCAGTCAAGAAGTAAAATTCTCATACTTGTCTCTCTGGAGGTTAACGAGGAAAGTTTGACTTGATGAATTCATAAATCAAATTATCTTGCAGATTCTGCAGATTCATCATATAAAGATATGATGTGACATTTACATCTGTGAAAATCAATAAAATATTGTTTCAAGTGAACATAATAAGCATTTTCTTATTTGTTTTAAAAATTTACAGTGTTTACTTGGTTATCTTCTAAAATGCCTATATAAGCTTCTTATACTGTCTTGTAAATTTTAATATATTAGAGAAATAAAGGGCTTTCTATAGTGACATACTAGTATTTGTATATTCCTTGAGATTACAAAGGCTTTTTCATGTATGTTAACCTTTTTCATTCTTATAACAATCCTCTACAGAGCATATCTATGTTGATAAATATGAGAAAAGGAAAGAACAGAGGTGTTAAATGAATATCGTAACTCAGAACAAGTCTGAAACCTAATTTCTTCTGAGCACACATCAGGTATCTAGCATCCACTGGTTGCCATATAATATTGAAATGATCAAAATAATTTTTATACTTCTCTAGTAATATTTCAGTGCATTTTTGTTACAGAACTCTCAAAAAGAATACATGGACTCTACCTCCATAATTCTGATCTGAGCCTTTGGGGTAACACAGAACAGTTTTATCTCACCCATTGAGAATTCTTGTGGGACATAAAACAGGCAGAGATAAACTACTGTGCAATAAATTCCTAAAACATGTGCTGCTAAAGTGAAATGGTGTCTGAGTTTCATAAGAGGACTTTGCATATTATACATAAATTCTATTATAAGTGGGATGAGAATGTTCACAGAACTGATGGTTTTCAGTAGATTCAATAGTGATATAATAGTGTAATGACCATTTTCTACTATCAAGTAATTCAAGTCAGCCTAAAAGATACATAAAAAACATAATTTTTTAAATAATTTATTCTCAGAAAAAACTTTCACAGTTTTAGCTCTTATGTTTTTTTTAATCTTTATAATGTAATACCATGGCATGATGTGGTGTGTCCCTGCAATTATAGCATACTGGAAGGCTGAGGCAGGAAGATCCCAAGTTTCAGCCAAGGCTGGGAAACTTAGAGAGTTAATGAGACCCTGTGTTAAAAAAAATATCGGGTAGGTATGTAGCCTAGGGTTCAATCCCTAGTACCAAAAAAGTAAATAAACCAATAAATCTACTTTTCAATATGATGTTCCATGATATCCACACCAATTTTTATTTTTGCAGCTTTATACAAAGTTATAAAAAAATCAGTATAGCCTCTGTATGGTGAATGTGATCTTTAAAAATCCTTTCAAATAAAACTTACATGTATAGAAGTTTTCTGCACATTTTTAAACTTCCCTATCAGCAATTTTAGTTATATTCTTAGATTGTTCCATTTGTATAAAATTATGTACTGGGTATTGAGTAAGGCTCTTTTAATGTTATCTCATTATATAACTATACAAGTACAGTCTTTTGAAGTATACATATAAAAAGGTATGTGCAACTGCTGTAGTGGTTCACACCTGTAATTCTCCAGCACTTCAGGAAGCTGAGGCAGGAGATTCACAATTTCAAGCCTGAATGGAGCAGCTCTCTGAGACCCTGTCTTAAAATTAAAAAATGAAACTGTCTGGAGAACCTCAGTGTAAAGACACTGGGTTCAATCCAAGTACAAAATTTTTAAAGACTATATGCAAGTAAGCATCAATACTATACTCATGAGCCTGCCATCCAGCTACAAAACTGATCTGTGGTCAATATCTTTGTACTAACCTAGGATTTCCCTCTATATTTCACCTCTACCTGTCCTTCACAGTTTACTCAATATCCTGAATTTAGTGTATCATTTCCTTGTATTTAAAAAATAATTTCACATGTCTGTACCCATAAATAATGTTTCTAAGGTTTTTTTTCCCCTGAGCCTTATACAAGTCTTCTAGTACTATATGTAGTGCTCTAGTACTTGTTCTTACTTGTGATTATCTTTTCTTACATTGTGCCTATGACTCTTGATTCATCACTGCATTGCTTGCAAAGTAATGTTTATGAAGTAATGTTTTAGTTCCTGGTCTCTAACTATGCCTGGGCTATGAAGAACTCTTTACAAGACTCTCCCCACATCTCTCTGCTTACTAAAAACACATAGCCCTCCCTATGTAGATCCTGCCATATCTTATATAGCTGCACCTCAGCATTTTTACTACCATATGATATTCCACTGTGTAGCTATTCCATAATTAATATAATCTGTAGGTATTTGATTTTCCAATTTTTTGTTATTATGATCAGTGATTACATGAACTTTTTGTACTGGCTCTTGGTGCCCATATGTAAAAGTTTCTCTAGGAAATAGACCTAGGAATCAAATTGCAGAATAATAGAGCATGAAAAAGTTCAATGGTACAATTTAGCACCACATTGTTTTCGAAAATGTTATTCTCATGTACATGCTCAACAATGTAATCAAAGTTCATTTAGAGTAAGAGGTCATATAAATATCTTAAAAGTGATTTTCAATGTTGGTGCTGCCATGGTTAAACATGATCATGACTACTGAACTATTAAATCTTCAGGGTTTCTGATAAAACATTTCCAGATGTACAATTTAATAATTCTCAATTTTGAGTACTCTGAAAGTGAAAAATGAATGTTTAGTAGTACAGCTAAGAAAAGAAATTGTTGAAATAGAAACAAAATTAAATAAATACAGTACTATAAATAATATGTCAATTTGGACTTATTTTAATACCTCAGGTGTTTTGTCAGATGAACAACTAATGAGATAGGCATCAATTATATTGGGATATGATGTCATTCTATTTCACTAGACTCCAAAAGTCTAGTTTTCTATGACTCAAGTTTTTATATTAATTAGAGATATATCAAGTTTTCTCAGTAAAATTGTCACAGCAAATCTGTTTATATAAACCATATTATCATAAGAATCTTTCATATAATTGCCTAGGCTTCTCTCTGATTATCTTGAAAGAAATTTCTTAAATACGAATGTTAATCTACAGCATTTCCCGAATTTTACATCCTCATTAACACAAATGAATATTCTAACCAATGTATAATGTGAACAATTATAAATAATTGAATAATTGTTTTGTAGTGGGTCCAATGATGACAAGAAATAGTGTAGATGGGAAAATAAAATGTTGTATGTTTCTCTATAGGCAGTGGGAATAATTTTTTCTTAAGAGCAATTCAAAAAAAAAAAAGTAACAGCCTCAAGAATACTACTAATTCTGTTGATAGTACAGCAGAACAATGAGAATAGGGCCCTTAAAACTGAATTAATTGAAACTTCATATCCATTTGTATTCCATCAAAGTAGGCTAATGTTAATATCCTATTCTTATACTCAAACTTTCTTTTGAAAGCTTCTCTGCATACCCTTGAAAATATAATTAGATTTCCTTCAGTGTTCTTGTGTTCCCCAAATGGTTTCCACTGCAAACATTTGTTTTAGTTGAAAGGCTCTTGTCCAAAAACAAAACTTGGTAATCTGAGGAGTTTAAAAATGAATCTTCACACCATTTTTCTGTTTTTGCTTTTGTTTTGTTGTTTTGTTTCTTTAGGTGGGGTGGTTAATAGGCCTGCATCCACCACCACCACCACCCAAAAAAATTAATTTCACAGGATGTAACCTTAGGATTGATTCGTATGTATGACATTTTATGTAAAGGTTATTACAACAAAACATGATGTGATCTAATACTATCCATAGACAAAAGTAAGACATATGTCTCGTTTCTATGACATTCTGTAGTGAGTTCCTGAAGTTCCTCATTCCTGCCTCTTAGGTCTCCTTAGTAAACACCAACATTAATTCAGTGCTGTTTAACCCCAAATTGCCTATATAATAACTTCTTACATTGTGGCTAAAGCTGTTAACATCACTGCATTGCTTGCAAAGTCATGTTTCAACTGCTGGTCTCCAACAATAGTTGGAACTCCTTTAAAGTCTTCCCCTAGCTTCTTTTATCTTCCTTCCAAACTGCTATACTTCCACAACTATTTCCCAAGTGATGGCATAATCTTAAAGCCTTTCAAGCATCAGAAAGACTCCCATACCTATCCTAGAAAAAAGACAACTTTTGACCATGTATGCCCTTGGATATGCCAGAGGACACCCCATCCTTGACCACATGGCTTAAATTCTTCTCTTAAGACCAGATGCTATAAATTCTAAGATTCTAATTAAGGCATTAGCTAAATCAGGTATAACAGATACTTAACTGCACCAAATTCTAATTGCTTATGAGTCTTCTACTTCCATTTTTTACTTGATAATTAGCCAAATGATCTATATACTTCTGTTGTGACCCTCCTATTTCTTTCTACCTGAAAACTTAATGACCTTATTTTTCTCCTTATTATGTCATTATTCTAATATATTTGGTCAAGGATGTGCTAGTAAATGTACTAAACTGTGCTTCAGCAAAGAAAGGCTCTGAACTATGTGTTTGCCAGTTTCCATTCTAGAAATACTCCCATGTGATTTCAACCTAGAAATAGTTTTTCAGTTTTTCAGTGGCAACTATATAATATTTTCTTCAAACACATGTAATGAATACAAATAACTTCAAAAGCATAGACAATATGTGAAGTAGTTAAGTGTTGAGTTCTGAGTTTATTATTTTTAATAACTTAATAAAAATAAAAGTATAAAATATTCTTTTTAAAGTATATTTTAATAAAAATAAAAGTATGATTCACTGAAGCATAAGTTTCTATATTTTCATTTTTAATATGCCCATGCATAAGTGAAGATGGGCAAAATTCTATTCTGCTGGAATAATATGTGCATTCTGCATATTATCTATTGAAACTGAACATCCATATTTCTAACCTCTTCTAAATTCCCTCCCAATCATGAGAAATAGATGACTAAAATTTATAGTTCCCAGAATTCCATAGAGCTAGGAACTTGGCAAGTAATTCAAATTCTTCTGAAGATATTACCTTGTGTGAGATTTGGAAGCCAAAAAGAAGCATAAATTAACTCTTCTGGCCAATGGACAAGCTCTGGTAAACTAATTCAAATTTCCCTTTTATGGAAGATGGGCAGGGGCCTAATGACAGCCTCTGACTTAGGCAGTAGGTCCTTATAGTAGGACCTTAGCTAGTAGGACCTTACATTGCTTTGAGTAACCTAATTCCCTGCATTAAATATTTTTTCTGGTTAAAAGTTAAAGTCCCTAAAGTGTTGGTGATGGTTATTGTTGTTCCTAATATAGTATGCATCCTTGGCATCTATTTTTTCCTTCTGTGACATCAGAAATACATCAGTCCAGTCCCTAGCACAGGAGGAGGAAGAAGGGGAGGAGGGAGAAGAAGGGGAGGAGGGGGAGGAGGGAAAAATATTGAGAATATGAAGCAGCAGCCCAAGGGTAGCCCCAGTTACCTGTTAATCTATTTGCCCACATGATTCCTGGTTCTGATTTTTTTCCCTGATGGTGCTTTACATTTTTTTCACATCCTGATATTATGCTGTTGTATTAATCAATTACTACTCTGTAATTTCTTTTTAGTAAACCTTCTGCATGAATTCATAGGGAATAGGTTCCAACAACTCAGGTTTCTTTCCATCTCTGGGAAGGGCAAGCTGGCACTTCAGTTGTACCCAGGTACCTTTCTCTTTGGCTTCCTCCTTTTTCAGATCATTTTCCTTGACACATTTCAGGATGCTATCATGACTTTTTCAGTGTTTAATATGCTCAATATGCACGTTAATCCTCTTGGCAAGTATCTTGCCCTTGCTTGTTTACAACAACGCCAACAGAATGCTGGGTAACTTTGTAGACTCTTCCCATTTTGCCATGGTAACATTTCTGAGGTGTTCCTTTTTGCACGATACTTATTCCTTTGATGTCTACAATATCACCTTTTTTGTAGATTCGTATGTATGTGGCCAAACAAACAACCCCATATTTTCTAGAAGGCCTACAGAACATATACCCAGTTCCCCTCCTCTTGCCCTTTGTGTTAATCATTTTGGCACATTACTGGAAGATGGCAGTTCCAGCCAAAAGGCAAACCTTCTGGAAAGAGTCAAAGAAATGAATGTTCATGCAAAAAGGGAAGTAAAATGAGCATTTGTTATTATTATT